ATCTTCAAGATATAAAAGAAAGCTAGACATTAAAAATATGGAGGACGACTAATTAGACTCAAGAAGGAACAGGAAGCATATTTGTTACTTTTATTATTTATTTTTGTTAATTATCGACTAATTAGTAACATTTGTTAAATACTATTATTTAGAATAAAATATGTCTATATAATTAAAAAAAAATTTAACTTGAGACTTTACCAAAAAAGAGCATAATTTTTACAGAAAAAACATATTTAGCGAATTGTTTAGCATATTATATTACACAGCTTTGATTATTATTTGTAAAAGCATTTCGATGAAAACAGTTTTTCCACCGTTTCAATATTTGTAATTAGCGTTATGTGATAAATAGTTTTATTTTTTATCATTCTGATTCAAAATACATTGTTTTTGGTAGTTATACTAATCATATATATATATACATATATATATATATACAGAGAGAGAGATATCTTCAATATAAGTAGGGGAGTTTTCAAGCATCGATTATATATGTTACCGTGAGTGCCAAAAACCAAAAGAATGTTCACCGGTGAATGTCGACAATCACATAGTAGCTTTAATGAATGTCCGAAATATATTTTATACCCGATTTGATATTTATTTATTCCTTGATACTATTATGTTTACTCGATATTTTAATATCTGCTGAGGATCAATCCTTAAATGCATACCGGGCAGTGGCACTGAACCTCAAAAAAACATCAGTGTAGGGTATACCGGGCAAATGCATACCGGCAGTGGCACTTAACTGGACCTAGTATATATTTCGGTCACTAACCAAAGCGACTATGTGATTGTCAACAGTCGCCGGTGGAAGGTAACAACCACGAATTTCGGTCATTCACAGTAACATATAGACGAAGCAAAGAAATTTTTCTAGCTACGAAGAGAAACATTTATCGTATTAATTTAACCCTTTTATCTAATTTATTTTATTAATTCAGCGTAAGTAAATGTCCCATTTTGCTGGACGAAATCAAAAAAAGTTGTTAAACATATGAGACAGTTAAATTTTTGTTAATGATGATTCCGTTTACATGCGTAAAATTGTCTCCAATGTGCAAAATAGTCCTAAGAACCTCTTTCTTCAATCTAAATAAGAGTTTCAACTGCATAAAATTATTTTTTTCCCGTTTATTTATTATTACCAGTGGCTACCCACTTCTTCGTAAATGTCTTTTATTATAAAAAATATAGAATTAAAACACATTGATTATGATGTGATGTAACCATTTCAAGGGATAAAAATAAATATTTTATGTCACTAAAATCTTTGCCATGCTAGTTTTCAAGATAATAATTCTCTAAAATTTGAATTATTCCTTTCTTTTACAATGGTTTGGAACGCAGAAATATATTTTATGTCACTAAAATCTATGACATACTTGTGGTATGTCACTAAAATCTTTGACATACATAGGATGTGTTTTTCTCGGATTAAGAGAGTATAGAAAAAGTACTCTAAAATTTGAGTTATTCCTTTCATCTACTTTAAACATCAGAAAAGAAAATGCAATAACAAAAACTAAATTTGTAAAATAGAATGTATTTATTGCATATATACAATAATTTCCACACATACTTGAGATCATTTCGTAAAACATAGCTATCTAATAAAGACATTATATACACAAATAAATAATCTTCACGTAATATAACAATGTGGTGATCATTTAAAAATAAATAACTAGCTTATAAAAATGTGTATGAAATCAGTCAAAATTTCACATTCGACGTCATGGGCAAATACCATACGTTGTTGCCATGGGAATCCGAACTGTACTATTACATCATAATATTTTTAAAAATTATTTTTGAAATAATTTGTTTTATTACAGTTGGTTATTAGCAGCTATTATTTTTTGACATTACGGTGCTTTAAACTACAATCCCTGGTCAAACTATTAGACGCACTATTAAGATTCTATGTGAAATCTTAATTATCACGTGATACTCTACAGCTTTATTGTTTTTACGCAGCTGAAACCGGTTTGCACTTGTTTACGTTAGTGTATTAATCGGTTAAATTAGACGATGTATAGTATAAATTCGACGATTGGATTATATATAAATATAGAATATTTATTTTATCAGGTATTATATTAGTAATAATTCGACCAAATTATTACACGAACTGTANGCTGAAACCGGTTTGCACTTGTTTACGTTCGTGTATTAATCGGTTAAATTAGACGATGTATAGTATAAATTCGACGATTGGATATTATATAAATGTAGAATATTTATTTTATCAGGTATTATATTAGTAATAATTCGACCAAATTATTACACGAACTGTATTGTTATAATTATTACATGTTTTGCACGGGTTTGAATGCAATACTTTTATATTTAAATATACATGTAATGGGTTTTTATTTAGGAGATTTTTTATTTACTTCTTATTAGTATTTATTTTTAGCGTATTGCATTACAATTTTAACCAATCGATACACGGACGTAAACAAATGCAAACCGGTTTCAACCGCTTAAAAACAATAAAGCTGTAGAGCATCACGTGATAATTAAGATTTCACATAGAATCTTATAGTGCGTCTAATAATTTAGCCATTAACTGTATGTTAGCCTCGAAAAAAAATATTTAAAAAAAAAAAAATAAGCTGCACGATTCATTTTTTTAAAAATTATAAATCATATATTGAATGCTCCTTTCTCCTGTCTGAGGAACTGTTTGCTTTTTATCCCCCCCCCCTCTCTCATGCTCACCACTGGCAGAAGTTGAAATAAATTAATACCAAATCGAATAAATTAGTAATTTCTTAATAAGCAAGTTCTCTTCCACCCCATGGCCTGCTGAAGGCTGGCCGGGATGCNAAATTTTAAAAATGATATCACAATAATTATTTAGCAAAAAATCCGGAAATCCGGATTTTTTCCGGAGCACAATCAGCCCTGCTATATGTGAGCCACGAAAAAAAAAACTTTTTTAAAAAAAAATAAGCTGCACAATTCATTTTTTTAAAAATTATAAATCATATATTGAATGCTCCCTTTTTCTGTCTGAGGAACTGTTTGCTTTTTATCCCCCCCCCCTCTCTCATGCTCACCACTGGCAGAAGTTGAAATAAATTAATACCAAATCGAATAAATTAGTAATTTCTTAATAAGCAAGTTCTCTTCCACCCCATGGCCTGCTGAAGGCTGGCCGGGATGCTATTGGATTTATCGGGAGGCTTTTTGGAACAGTGAGGGTCACAATATTGGTGCTGTTGGAGAAATGGGGCATGAACCAGTTGGATGGGTGGGTGGAGGTGGTGAAGCAGTGCAGGTGGCTCATGAGTCTCAATTTCAGGGGATCTTGCAAGTCCAGTCCTTCATAGCTGACGAGGTATCTGGCCACTTCAGATGCACACTCGCGGAATCCAAGGCCCTGGTAGTCCGTCACTAAATTATGAGGGTCTAGATTAAACACATCTAAACCTAGAATGAAAGCATATTAATTAAAAGACATCAAAACAAATATATCTTAAATCTACGAAGAGTAAAGAGATGAGAATATAGGGAAAATTAAGTGTGGTAGAATAGAACAAATAGTACTACTAAATGTATCTAAATAGTACTAGTCCCGCACAGTGGACTGATCGTTAGGACACGGTTCACAATAGAACACCGAAGTCAAGCATCACTGGCTGCGGTCAGTGTGCGGATGGGTGACCACTTGGATCAGTCTACGAAAGGACAGATGCACGGTATTGGTCCTCGTTAAACTGTTTGTCACAAACGATTCACCTTAGATCACCGACGCAAAGCATCGCTTTCGGGTGGGTGATCATTATGATGAGCTTGTGAAGGAACTGAGGATGTTCGGTATCAGTCACTGTAAACTATTCTATTGTAAAGAGCTCTATTTCGCGCGCAGGTCGTCGCGCTACCGAAGTGGGGGCGCCACCTCCTCTGCAGAGGATCAAAATTGTGATGGCATGTCATCCTCAGGGATGTTTCCCAGACCGTCGTCGATAGCCCATCGTGCAGCTCTAGTAAGACGCAAATAAACTACAGCAACAACTAAATAGTACTATGATACGTATCATAGTACGAAGAGGATTCAATATTGAGGTTGCGCTAGAGCTGCACAATGGGTAATTTAATTGATTACGGTCTAAGAAACGTTCCTGAGAATGATACGAAAACACGTCATAGCAATTTTGATCCTCTGCCGAGGGGATGGATTCCCCGTTTTGGCAGCCCGACGACATGCGTGCGAAAATGAGCACTTTACGGTAGAACAGTTTAACGAGAAGCGATACCGCGCACACTCTGTCCCTACGCAGGCGATCACCCAGCCACTTTCTGATCGCAGTCAGTGATGCTTGACTTCGTCGATTTACAGAGAACCCTGTCTTTCAATTCTGTCGGACTATTAAAAAAAAACTTTATTTTTTTCGGTAAATTAGGGAAAAAAACTTTATTCAAAATTTAACTATTTATTTGGTATATAATTTACTTCAATGACGGGAGCACACATGATCAAAAATTAAAACAAGTAATTAGAACAAATAACTTTTAAAAATAGGGTGGAATGTTTTCGCCACAATATACGCAAGTATTTAAAGCAATTATAACGATTAAGCAAAAGAACTGGATTACTTTCTTAGACTCATGACTATTCATTTCAATATCAGTTTTTGATGCCACGAACACTTTTCTAAAGTAATTATTTTCAATTTGAACAAAAAAATAGTTTATTGCGCTCATTTAAATATTTAATTATTTTACATTCGCTGTGTCAGATTATGGCTCTTATACTATGATCCTTTACTATACTAAGCTTCTACGTCTAATTCAGGGCTCTATGTCAGATAAATTTAATAAAGAACATTACGTAGTAGACGTGTAGTCCACGTCACCAAATTTATAGTTTTGTAGTTGTCCGATTCCTTTTTTTCTCTCCTTTCAATTCCTACTAGTAGGGAACCGATTATCCGGAACGATCGGGACCATCGCTATTCCGGATAACTGATTTTTCCGGTTTTCTGAATAGCTACGTAAAGCCGTTTTTTATTATTTAACCCAACTAAAAAAATATTTGGAAATAATCTTGAAAAAACAAAGTAATATACTAATGATTATGTCCAAAATGATGGTAAGATAAACATCTTTCAAAAAAAGAAAGAAATATCCTAAAATCTTATGAGGAAAAAAAAAATTTTTTTTTTTTAAAATGGCGGGAAAATTTAACGAATTTTGTTCCGGTTTTTTGGTTTTCCGGTTTACTGATATCCGGATAACAGGTTCTGTACTGTATTAGTTCACACTCTCCCTGTATCTTGTTCAAATGTTCAATCGTTCATAAAATACTTTTTATTCATAAATTCAACTTCAAATAAATTTTTTGAAACTTGTAGTTACTTGACACTTGATGTTAGTACAGTTTTTTCAAACATTAATTCATTCATAAAATTTAATTCATTAATTTTAGTTTTATTTGGGAGAANTAGTTCACACTCTCCCTGTATCTTGATCAAATTTTCAATCGCTAATAAAATACATTTAATTCATCTATTTAAGTTCAAATACATTTTTTTGAAACTTGTAGTTACTTGACACTTGATGTTAGTACAGTTTTTTCAAACATTAATTCATTCATTAAATTTAATTCATTAATTTCAGTTTTATATGGGAGAAAAAGTTATAATTATTGAACAAAAAATAACTGAAATAAAATATTTTTTTATTGACCTAAGTAGGAAGTGACTTAATTTTTTTAATTTTTATATATTACTTGTTTTTCAATCCATTCATTTAAAGAGCAGAAAGAAGAGTACGAAACCATGTTAAGGGGCTCAGAGATGGATTAACGATGAGACGACAAAAATGCAGAAATAAGAGTGAATTGATAATGCTATTTATTCAATTTAAATAAAAATAGAAATAATTAATAATTGTTTAAAAACTTATTTAAAGTTAAGGCATTTAAAAGCCTTTTAAAAAAATTGACAATCTAATGATTGTATTTTAATTTTAAAAAAAATTATATTTTATAAAGTTGTATAATTGTTCGTTACGAATTAATTTAGAATGTAATAACAAATTAGAATAAAAATTCTTAGCTATCAGTTGGTGAATTTGAGTTTAGGCCAGCTAACCCATTCGTTTTAGGATTCTATGGTAACCACTCATTTCGTTTTGATAATACTGTAACTTTTTCTAATAGTGAAATTTTTAGATACTGGGGTATATGTGGGGGGAATTAATTTGTTATTTGATAATCATTAAATATACTGCTATGCCCTACCGCTATTTTGAGTGTTTATTCTAACGTTGCATTTATTTTGCTGCGCAAAAACTATAAAACTTAAAAGCATGTAATTACGAAAATGGGCGTACGAAGGAATGAAAAAGATTATCATTCGAGAATTATTAACAATCATGGGCGCCATGGCTCAGGGGATAGAGCGTCCAATGAGGTGAACGGGTTCGAATCTCAGCCATGGCTGGTCGATACGAATTCCGCACTCGGCTCGCACCGACCACAGTGCTGATGTAAAACATCCTCAGTGATAGACGGATCATAGATTAGAGTCCCGTTGCCGTCAAACTAACCGTGAAAGGTTCTCGTGGTCTTCCTCTCCATGTAACGCTAATGTGAAATAGTTCCATCAAAAGGTCCTCCACGAAGGCAAATTTCTCCCAATACTTGATCCAGGAGTTCCCTTGTCTTCGGGATTGGGTTCAAACTTACGAGGCTACGGAATTGAACATTCGTAGTCATAAACACANTCTCCATGTAACGCAAATGCGGGTTAGCTCGATCAAAAAGTCCTCCACGAAGGCAAATTTCTCCCAATACTTGATCTAGGAGCTCCCTTGTCTTCTGGATTGGGTTCAAAATTACAAGGCTACGAATTTGAGCATTAGTAGGAGTAAACCACAAAAATTCGGTTTACTACAACTTCAACGACGTTATAAAATAAAATGTATATTGAACATTAATAATCGTGGGTGTCGTAGGTGGGAGAGTCGGTGGATATATGTTCCCCTTAATATTTCAGACAGATAAATAAAATCTTCGTGAATTATTACCGATTTAAATTCCTTAAAGTAAAAATCAATATAGAGATATAAATAATCCACTTTTAAGGAAATTATTTTTCTCTTGCATTAAATTTAGAAAACTATTGTGACTGTGCAATTTAAATTTCGCTCCCCCCCCCTCACAAAGGGAGTCCCTGCGACGTCCATGTTAATAATTAAACTTGTAAAAAATGATTTGTGAAATTTCCAGATATCATATCATTATATTCTACTATTAACGAAACTACGATTTTTCTCTCTAAGCAAGGTAACAAGGAAAAAACTACTATACAATTTCCAAAGCAGTAGAAGCAAAAAAAAAATGAGGGGGGAGGGAAGGGAATTGAGAAAAAGATATTCGGTAGGACAAAGGGCGGAATAAATAATAGGAGGCGACAGTCAGTTATTCCTTTAATAATTTCCGGTACGGCTTTTTCTTTCACCTGTTAATAAAGTTAGCAGAACAGACAATGAACATTTGGCTACTGGAATTGGCGCGGTTGGCATGCCTCGGAAATGTTCCCACGGCACCGGTTGGAGATAATTGCTGTGGTTTCTAACCTCTGCACTACGCCGTGCACGAGACTGTGATCTTTTAGGAAAAGGAGTCACGCTACGCGGGATCAGATAATAATGTCTATTCTTCTTTGGAAGGTAAAAATAAAGTTTATTTTCACACGGATGATTTATATTTTACATAAATACATACATAAAAATTCGACGTTCTTTTGATTGTTCAACTTAACGTTAGATATTTTTTTTTGCTGCGTAAAAACTACAAGACTTAGAAACTTGAAATATGAGGAAAATGTACTAAGAGTATAGTGGGGTAAAAAAAATATTGAGAATTATTAACTGTTAACTTAGCAGAAAAAAATACCATGTGGGTCAAGTCTACATAAAATTAGCACGAGCTTTTTTTTTTTATTTGAAAAAAAAAATAATATCGTAAATTATAAAAAATTTACGTTCTTTTTTTACGAATTTTTTCTCGCTAGTTTTGCTTAACGGTACATTTTGTTTTGTTGCCCAAAAGCTATAAGACGTAGGAACTTAAAATTAATGTTTTAATTGGCCGGGATAGCCTGGTTCGTAGGGCACTGGGCCCATGTCCAAGAGGTCGTGGGTTTGATCCTCGCCTGCCGAAGACTCATCCGTGTAGTAAATGGCAACTGATGCACGTTAAATCTGTCAGGTCACAAAGTCCTTCATGTTCCCATAACAAAGTCAAACCTCTGGGGGTACTGATCCGGGAGTTTCCTGGTCTTCTGGATTAGGTTCAAAATTACAAAGCTACGGAGTAGAAAATTGGTAGTCGTAAAAAAAAATACCCATTTTTATTCTTTAAAAGAGGGAGAAATTTGAAAATATATAAAATCGTGCTACCAGGTTCTCTCCTGTAGCGTGAAGCGTACCTGCTGACTGTTCATTAGTGCTAAATCAGGTACGCTAATGAGTGTATACGAAACATAAATTAAATAATAATTAAACATATTTTAGCAAAACATCTTTAATTTATAATTATTTGTTTTCCATTGAAATTTGTACCTTAATTTTTTCCAGAATTCAATATAACATAGTTAATAAACAATCATATCTATGTTGAAATATATTTTTTAATCACCATTTTTTTTATTTAAAATTCGAAACAATAAAAAAAAAAGAAATCTTGATTTATTTTTGAATTCAATATAAGTTTTTACAGTTAACATATGATGATTTGTGCTTAATTCATAAACTAATGGTAAAATCTTTTCAAAATTTATTTTAATTTTAGAAAACTTTTTTTTTATTCATTCAATTCATGTAAAATTTTACAACACAGTTGCCAAACGCCCTTTCATTTGTAAAGCTCGGTAGGGTTACCCACATGATCAGGGTTGGCAACTTCAAACCAATGTGATTTAAACTATGTTTTAAACCACAGTTTAAATCATGGTTTAAACCAAACGGTTTTATAAAAAAAAAACAAGTTTTTTTTTGTGGATTTTTTTAAAGAGAAAAATCGTCTGAATAACTTTAATTCCTATTATTTACGTAAAATCTTTTAGTTTAAATATAACAATGAAAAATTATAAATTTTGCCATAAAAATCTTTTGAAGCCTTAGTTTAATTATCTCCTCCAGCTGGTCCGGCTTTTCAGAATAGTTGAACAGTAGCAGTATTTTACAAGACCCGATAGTACTAAACAACCTTTTAAAAAAACTGCTAATTGCAAAACTGTATAAATTAAATTTTGTCAGAAAAATATAAGAGAACCTACAAGAATATCGCTTTATATTTAAAATTCTTATTGGGTGACAAGCTTGTATCTTGCTGACTAGAGTAAACATCAATTTATTTCTGAAAGCATATTTTGAATCGATCGAGTGGCCTCTGAAGATATCGAAACAATGCGTCTGTATATATTCCTTATGGATGGTGTTTTCTACTCAAGGGTGCACTGCAAGCTCTTTGCTGCCTGTACTTCCGGGTTTCTGGCGTATTTTGAAACCAATTTGGATAACATAACAGCGTGATCATTGTGTTTTGAGACTCTTTTGGGTAGTATTTCTCGTATACGTGTATTTGTTACCAAATTTGTTATTTGTGTTTAAAAAAAGAATCGTTATCGTTAAAGAATCCTCATTTGAAGACATGCCATTTCAAGACATAAGAATCTTCATTTGAAGACACGTTATTTCAAGACATAAGAATCTTCATTTGAAGACACGTCATTTCAAGAAATAAGAATCTTCATTTGAAGACACGTCATTTCAAGACATAAGAATCTTCATTTGAAGACATGTCATTTCAAGTAATAAGAATCTTCATTTGAAGACATGCCATTTCAAGACACAAGAATCTTCACCTGAAAAAAGAATCGTTATAAAATACTCCTTACCTTGTCAACAATATACCAACTTCGAAATTTAAACCTAAATATTAATTTGTAACCTCACTGCTAGAACAATATGCTAACATTACCGTATGATGGTGCACGGATTGCAACAAGAATAAACAGTAACAAACAAGTAAAAAAAAGGCCAAAATGGGACTGCCAAAAAAGCGAGTTCTTTCTTAATCTAGCAACCATGTTGCATTTTTTAACAAAGCATATTAAAATAACTAAAACAAATTTTCGCTTCGAAATTACCAGAATTACTTAAGAGCATTAATATCTTATGAAGTACAGCAGATTTGAGCTCAGAAATTATTTCTTTTATTGAAGACAAAATTATCTGTTTGAAAATGTCGCCTCGCTGAATAAGCTGTTGTAAGCAGCTGCATACTTTTTAACCGGAAATAAAGCAGATCGAGAACTCGACATAGTTGTTGTTTACATTCATATAGAAAACACCTTTTTAGAGAACAAAATTTCTTTAATAATTACCCCTTGAATGCATTAGTTTCAAATGATCCACAGTCATCTGGAGTATTTCTGCCTTTTCTAACTTCGCCGAACCCTTTAAAAGGAAATAAATACAAATTGTTAATTATGATGTAATAAGGATGTATCATTTTTGAGGAGAAAAATGAATTTCCAAACCTGCTTTTCATAGGCAGCAGGAACAAGTCTCCTCAGTTCAGATAGAGAATTGTTTATCCTATCCCTTCTTCTTTTTTCGATTACCTTTAAAAACAACAACGGAATAAATACTTCATTCGTTTTAAAAATTATGAGAAAAGTAATAAAAGGAGACATGTTTCGAGGGCTTGAAAGTAAGCGCTTATTCTCTAGACTCGCGAGACGTGAATGGGGAAAACAGTGGTGATTTGAAACATAAAACGCAAAGCAACCTTCGAAAAGTGGAAAAATGAAGGAAGGTATTTTATTTACGTCGCAGCACCGAATTTTTACTTCCATTCGATACTATTACAGGGTCAGTAGCCAGATTTTTCAACAGAAAATAAGCACCCTTCAAATACTTTTTAAGCACTCAAAAAATATTTTTAATCACTATCCAAAAAAACATAATTAGGATCTGTGCATGCAGTAANAAAAAATCAGAATTAGGATCTGTGTAGCAATAAAAATTATTTTTTCTATTGTTTAAACTTCTTAATTTATAAACATGAAATCAATAAAATTCAAAAGCACTTTTAAAAACTTTACATAACCATGATAAAATAACTACTTTCTGATAAATATTACAAAGAAAATTTTTGTAATTTAGAACGTCAATCAACACGGCAAAGAAACTCTTTTTAATAGATAGAAAATTAAGCAAACAATTATACTAATTATATTACATTTGTTTGCAAATATATGTTAAAAAAATATAATTACAAACCCAGAATAAAAAAAAAACACCCTTAAAGGCTTTTAAAAAACGTAAATAAAAAATAAGCACTTTTTAAAAACGCTACTTACCCTGTATCATAAAAATCAAACGAAGTTGTCGAAGTCACAAGCAGCAATTCAAATTATGATTCACGGATAATTTATTGGCTGATTAATATTCTTGATGCGACAGAAGCAAATATTTCTATCTGAATTAAAAACATAAAAAAAAATTTTTTTACTTACCCCACGTCTCCGTTTTCTGTTCATTGAGTGCCTGCCATCATCTTCAGGACCACTAAATAAAATAAATCATTTGAGAACAAAGTCGAAAACTGTTTCACTGCAATTTAAAAAAATCAGCTCAGAGTTGTGGGTCATTGGGCTGGTGTGGACAATTTTTATAAATATGCCAAAAAAGCTTACTATTTATTATTTTCAACCATTTCTAGTGTTTTTCATATTAAAAATTTAAGTGTTTATCTTTATTTTGAATAATACATAAACTAATTTGGATGTATATATTTTTTTAAATCTTTTTACTTCTTCAAAAAATCGTTCTTTTGTAGCACCAATGAGATACAAAAAATTTTTTGCGTTTGAACATTGTTTCTTTATTTACCTACAAACTTCATTGTTTCCTACAAACTACCTTTTTTCTTATCGCACTATTCACTACCTTTTTTTGAAAAGTGGCGCAATGCACTACAAACTACGGAAAAAAATAGCGAATACGGAAAGTAGCGGAAGTTGCAGCTGGTAACGTGAAATAAAGCAATTTTGAGAATATTATAAAATATTCAGAATGCAATCGAGGCTAGTAAGAAATTAATTTAAACAAATTTTAAGAAAAAAAACTCCTTAAACTATTAAGTCAAAATGGAAAAGCGCTAAAAGCAAATTATTATGTGAACAATTTAAATAAAAAGTTAGAATCAAAAAACAAGCAAAACAAAATGTCGACCCCTCACCCCTACTTGGAATAGTCATATCTCGTTACCATAGTCACCGCCACAGGTCCAGTCGAATGTCTGGAGGAGTTCTTATTTTAGACAAACTATATGTATGATAGCAAAAACAGCACTACTTCAGGGGACACACTGTCTGCTAACACAGTGGGGGCTTTGAATATTTATTTCACTATTTGAATTTTTGAGGCATTTTTTATTTAGTTTTTCCATAATGGGTACTCGGGGCACTGTCAGTTTTTGGTTTAACCACTGACTACAGAAAGGTTCCAGTGTGTTAGCAGACAGTGTGTCCCCTCATGAAGTGCTGTTTTTGCTAACATACATATCTGTACAATTTCGTTGTTTTTGAATTCTAACTCTTATTTAAATTGAACATTTTGTTGTTTATTAAAAAAATATTGTCCTGAGCAAATAATTTAAAAAATGTTTAGTATGATGAATGATAAATGTACACATAAATGACACCCGGTTTAAAGGGTGAATAAATAATAAATTTATAATTTGAATTTTGATTTATAATGACTTTTACCACCACGACCAATAAACAAATTAAACCTTTTAATGATTTATGGCAAAGTGAAACAAACTTAGCTGACCTCAATTAATTGGCACTATACGAACACTTTAAAAATAATAAGAATCTATAACTCATTTCCGGTTTGTAAATATTAAATTAGATTTAATAACTAAACTATGTTCCAATTAAGCAAAAACTCTTTCTTTAACAACATGAAAATAGATACTTGAGGTAATAAATAATTAGCTTAAGTCGAACACAATACACCTCAAAGGTTAGTAAAAAGTTACCTTTCCAACTGTCAAAAAAATACACCTGAAGTAGAGTTATAATAACCTGAAGTGTTAAATGAAACACCTTAGGTTGTTGAATAAATACTTTCACAAGTGTAAAATATATACTATCAGGTTAATAACCTAAGGTTGAAAACCTTAAAGTAATAAATATCTACCTCTCCACAGATGTAAAATGAAACACCTCAGGTTGATATATTTCATATATACTTCTGAAGGTATATTTTAGGTATATTTGAGGTTAGTTATGAGGTATTCATTTGCACCCTTTTCAATCTAACGACTTATTTAAATAACTACCTCCGTTATACCCTTGAAAAATAACTCATTTATACCTCAAAAATGCCTCGATTTTTGGGTTATCACAGAAAGCTTTATAAGAATGTTGTTTAATGAAATTCTAACAATGGCTACGAATTGGAAACAAACTTCGACCATTTGTGACAATCGTTAGGTATTTTCTTTTTGTATAAAAAAAATACATCTGTTTGCGAACTAGACATTTAAACGTTGTAGTGTAAACGTATCTTATAAAAAAAAAAGGAATTTCTTGCTAACATTAACGTAACTTTAATAGTACCACTACTGAGTTTTTCTAAGAACTGTGAAAGCTTTAACGTATATTGCACGCAGTCATTGTTCTTTTTAAGCTAATTAATGAAAGGTCGAGATAAAAAGTGACTATTAAAATATCTAATAAGCATATTTATTCACAACACAGTTGTTTTCTATTGTTGAAGACGATAAATAAAAAATAGTCGAAAGTTGCAATTAAGCAAATATTTATAAAGCTGCTTTTCTGCCATTTTGAAATCTTGAAACCTACCACACTCTAGCTCTTTGTTTCGTTACTACATATATAACAGAGTTTTGCCAATTTGGCAAAATTTACAGAGAAAGGGATAAATAATAGAAATATTCCATCTGTTTACACTCTTTTCTCCATTTATCGTAATTTATTCTCAGAGAGAATCGAGTCTATTTAAGGAGTAATTTCAATACATAAAGTTTCAGTGACTCAGTTTACGTGTCATCTCCAGCTCTGTGCTAGGGTCCAGCACGTTAAGACCCCCATCATGCTAAATAGTCAATATGCAGCTCTTAAGCTTTGGCCAGCACGGAGGAAAAACTATACGGAATATAATATAATCTTGTACAAGAAAAATGCCCAGTAGTACAGATATATGTAACTGTGATGGTTGTTACATTAAACTGGTGAACAATCACAAAGTCGCTTTGGTAAATGTCCAAAATATATACTAGGTCTAGTTACGTATCACTGGCGGTATACATTTGCCCGGTATGCCCTACACTGATGTTTTTTTAAGGTTCAGTGCCGGTATAGTTCGTTCTAATTTAATATCTGTCACTGATGTTTCTCCTGATCTATCCTCAGCAGATATTAAAATATCGATTATATAAAATAATATTCACGAATAAATGAATATAAAATTGGATATAAAAATATTTTAGACATTCACCAAAACAGCTATGTGATTGTTGGCATTCACCGGTGAAAGTCTATGATGTTTATTTAAGGTCTAGTGCCACTGCCCAGTAAGTTTTTAACCGGTACTCTGTACACTGATATTTCGCCTGATCTGTCCTCAGCAGATATCGACATATCGAACATATAAAATAATATCAACGAATCGGATATAACAAATATTTCAGACGACGACTTTGCGATTGTTGACATTCACCAGTGAAGGTCGACATTCTCTTCATTTCGGTCATTTACGGTAACCTATATATACAGTCCCAGTCTATACTCTATACAGCTTCATTGTTTTCATGAGACTGAAACCGGTTTGTACTTGTTTACGTTCGCGTATCAATTGGTTATATTAGACGATATATAATATAAATTTGACGATTGGACAAATCAGACGATATAATATATAAATATGGAATAATTATTAGATCAGGTATTATATTAGTAGGGGAGAGTGGGGTCAATTGTAACATTTTTTACTTAACTATTTTTAACTGACAAAAATTCCAATATATTATTAGTATTAATTGACAGTCGAGTAAAGTAGACTATCCGCTACTAGAAAAAAATAAATAAATACCATATTTTAAATGTTATTATATTAGTTATTAACAATTTTTGACAGTCGTGAACTTGTTGCAATCGTCCTCACTTACGGAGTCAATTGTAACAGTTCATAAATTCAACTTAAACATAGTTAATTATACATATTATCATAGTTGTGATATATTTCTTTATTGGTCAAAATAGTAATAATATTTTAGGAGTAAAAATAATAATGAGCAGAGACCTAAAGGGTTAAACTTTTAACTTTAAGGGGTTAAAAATTTTAATTTATGCTGTGAAAGGTGACAAATAAAATAATGCANACAGTCGCCGACAAAGATGTTCACGTAGTTAAGGGGTGGAAAAATTATAAAAAAGTATATATATAATAGTATTATATATACACTTTTCTTAAATTTAAACTTTACTCGCAATAAAAAAAAGCATTATAATTTTTAATGTATCATTTCGAATATTTGGCGGCACACAAAAGTGCCGCGGCACAGTGCTTGAGAATCACTGCCCTACACTGATGTTTTTTTAAGGTTCAGTGCCACTCCCGGTACAGTTCGTTCTCATTTAATATCTGTCACTGATATTTCGTCTGATCTATCCTCAGCAGATATCGACATATATCAAATAATATCAGCGAATGAATTAATATCAGGGGTGATTGTGAGCCCAAGTCAAAATTCCGGAAAATTTCAGGAGTTAAAAAAAAACAACAGTTTAAATTGAAAAATTAGAAAACAATTTAAACAAGGTTTTTTTCCTATTTCTCAATATTTTGTAGTTTACTTAAAATATATTTAAAATTTTACACATACCTATACCATTTACACATACCTACGATGACCTGGAGAAGTAATTAAAATTTACAAATAAGTCTTTCTTTCTTGAAATTATGATTATAACAACTATTTACTGATAAAAAATAAATATTAATCATGAATATAAGCTTATAAAGTATCTCTCTAGCTCTCCCTTACAAACAAATAAAATAAACTGTGTTTTTAAGTTCCACCTATAAAAATTTGATTTCCGGAAACTTCTGTGATTAATGATTTTTTTAAAATGTCTGGCACTACGATCTCCGGAAACTTCCGGATTACTGTTAGCGAAAATTCTGGAAATCCGGATTTTTTCCGGAGCACAATCAGCCCTGAGTAACAGGTATCCGACACACACGATCTTATTCTTTTGGGTGACATGAATTCTAAAGTAGGGTGAGAACAGGTCTTACAACCCACAATTGGAGATGAAAGCGAGCACGACGTAAGTAATGACAATAGGAGAAAACTAATTGATTTTAAGTGTAGTAATGACATGACTATCAGAACAACTCTACATAAAAATAAAAAGTCTGTAAGAAGAAAAAAAATACGGACAACCCTGAATAACTTTTGATCTAATAATCGAATCTTCGCGCTCTAAGACTCATCTTAATGGCTCAAGGGGCTGGCCTCAAATAAGCTA